GCTAAAACGATACAAATTATGTGTAAATCATTTTTTGAATTAATCGTATGATTTGTAATTAAATTGGTAGTTTAAATCGTAAATCGCGATTCCTGGATGATTCAAACGATTAGAATTTGAAAGCTTCATTTGAGATTAAATGACCATTTAATCCTCTTCCTTTTTAAAGTTTCACTTTTATAAAGAGGAGCAAAGTCGTCCTTCTATTCATAAAACATAGAATACTTTGGTCGATCAAAGAAGACTTACCATTCAAGGAAAAGACTTGGGCGGGAGACCGGGAGAGAAGAAACCCTCCTCCATTGTTTCGGTGAAGCTCCAAACTTCCTTCTCTACTGGTTTGCATTGAAAGGTAAGATTTTATTTTATTTTTTCAATTTCTAGAATTTTTCTATTATTTGCACATGGTTTGTGTTGTCTTCTTGGATTTCTGCTGTTTTATTGTTCAATTTCTATTGTTCTTCTTTTTTCTTCTTCCTCCTCCTTTTCTTCCTTCTGGTTTCTTGCTTCTCCTTTATTTCAATTGGTTTTTTGGAATGAAAACAGGGGCTCCGCCCTATTTGTTTCAATAGATTTTTGGCATGAAAATAGGGGCTCATCCCCAAGTCTTTCATTCATTTTTTTCATGAAAGCTATGGGTACCTAGTTTCGTCTTTTCATTTTGAACAAAAATAGGGGCTCCGCCCTATTACATTTCCCCTTGCTTCATAATGTTTTGTCTTGATTTTTTTTTGCATAAAAACAAGGGCTCCACCCTTTTCCTTCTCACCCTTTTTCCATGCAAAAATAGGGGCTTTTCCCCAATATTTTTACTTGTTTTCTTGCATGAAAATAGGGCTTTATCCCTAATATATTCCCCTCACCCTTTTTCTAGTCACAAAACAAGGGTTCATCCCCATTTTTCATTCTTTTTTGCACAAAATAAAACTGTCTTATGCAAAAATAGATATGTATTTGCACTTTGTAGTGTCTCACTATATAGTTATAAGATGTTTATGGGTTAGAAAGCTTGTGCAAAGTCATTTTTTCTATTTTTTGAGAGATTTAGGTATATTTTATAGTTTTTAATAGCATTTGAAAAAATAAGAAAAAAATCTTATGATTTACAATACAATTCGATTCAAACCCCTTTACGATTTGCGATATGCTTACGATTTTCAGAACATTGGTGGTAACATAGGGGTTGGTGGCAAAGGGGTATAAAGCGAGGTTGGTGGCAAAGGGGTTCACATAGGTGTATGGAGTGCATTATGCCAAAACGTTTGCCCCGGTTTCCAATATGGACTCCATTGGAGTCTTCTTTTCTTTAGTAACTAATTTTGACTAGGGCCTTCACTAGTTAGATATCAAGAATGCTTTTTTGAATGATGATCTAGAAGAAGAGGTAAATATGGTTCGACTCCTGGTTTCTGTGTTAAACGCAGTGAGCGAAAAGTGTGTAAACTAAAGAAATCCTTGTATGACCTAAAACAATCATTGAGGGGAAAGATCTGAGTTTCATGAGGTATTTTCTTAGAACTGAAGTCGCCTGTTCAAAAAAATGAGATCTTCATTTCTCAAAGGAAATACATCCTAAATCTTTTATAGGACATAGGTAAACTAGGAGTAAAGCTAGTTGATTCTCCCATTGGTCCTAATCACAAGTTGGGTGATTGTCATGATGAGACAATAAAGGATGTGAAACAGTTCTAGAGACTTGTGAGAAGGCTTCTGTATTTGTATATGACTAGGCCTAACATAGCATATGCCATGGGTGTCCTTAGTCAGTTCATGCATGCCCTTAAGGCTACCCACATGAAAGCTGCTGAGAGGATTCTCAGGTATCTCAAGAAGTATCCAAGGGGCTAGCTTATAGAATGGAGGCTATTTTTTTTTTTTGGGTCCCTTTGTTTGCAAACTCTCTACTTTATTCAAAAGTAACAGTGGGAATTCCTTGCACACGGACCTATTATGTTATCAACAGATATAAACTCACTGCTTACCAAGGATTAAAGTATCGGCATCGAGAATCGTATCAGACAACTTGGATATGGATATGGATACAGATACGCTTTGAAAACGCATGGATACGGATGAAAAATATGAAAAACTTGGATACAATAGGGAAACACATGCAAATTTCATAAATACATTAATAACACTAAATTTATGGCCAAATAGCCATAAATAATGTATAAATATATAAGAAATATATATTTAATGGTGTACATAAAAATATATTATAATTAATAACAGAATGCACAGATATACAATGCATTAATTAAGAGTCCAAGATGGACTTATTATATTTATCCTAATTATTATATCAATTATTTTCTATTTTATTATTTTTACATTTTAACATTAACAAAAAAAGTTAATCAAATATTAAATTTTGAAATATAAATTAAATTATCAATTAATCATTTATAAAAATATATAAATTTATAGTAAAATATATATATAATTGGTTAAAATTTCTAAGATATTTATCATATGCAAATTCATATATTTTAATTATTAAAATAATTATTTCATTATTTTATTTGTATAACTTTTTTTGAAATTAAAAATCAACTTTTCATATAAACGTAAATTAGTGGATTTGATAGATTCATTTTAATATTATATTCTTGAATATTTTGCAAACAGATTTTTATTTTTTGTAAATAATAAATATGTTGTCATTTAATGTAAATTAAAATATTATTTAATAATTATAAAAATAAATAAAATTTGTAAGATATATATCATGTGCAAATTTATAAATTTTAAGTAGTAAGGTAATTATTCTACTATTAATATTTTATTTGTATAAATTTCTTGAGATTAAAATCATCTTTTTATTTAAATATATTTTTTTGGGTACTCCTTTTGATGTAAATATAGAATTGATAGATTATTTATTCCATTTGTTTATAAAATACTAATTTTAAATATTATTTATTTTAATTTTTAATTGGGGTTGTTAAACATAAATATTGATTATTTATTTGAATAGACATTAATAAAAAATTGTTCTTTCGTTAAATATCACAACGCATGGTATGGCGAAGTGGTTTGATAGAGTGTTTTAAGGCTTCAGGCACCACACACATGGTGCTTCGGGTTCAAATCACTCTATTAGCAGCGTTTGCATTTTTAATCAAAGACGTTGTGTATCGATCGGTATCGGTGCATATTGGCCGATACAATGCGATATGGGCCGATACACACTCGTATCAGTCTGATGCGCGCGCTTTACAAGATATGTTTCCATTCGTAACATATCCTGTATTGCCCTAATCCGATACCGATATGATACGCCCCCCGTATTAGACGTATCGTATCGATATTTAAATCCTTGCTGCTTACTGGAAAAAGAAAATATTGGAGAAAATATGTGTACCTCCATAAAAAAGAATATAGAAAAGAAAAGAACTAATACTTGGTTCAAGACCAAGGTTACACTCATGGGCGTTTTGATAACAACTTAAGTGGCTGAACTGAACTGGATGGCTTATTTCTTTGCCTTTTCATTGTTTAGTATTTTATTCCCTAATCCATAAGTCATTCAATTTATCCACTTGAGCCATTATCAAACTGCTGTTTAGTGTTTTAAAAAGTATAAGAGGCTTATGCATTGAAGCTCAACCTTGATGTTCATGCCTAAAAGTACAAGGCACATACCTCACACCTGAAGCTGCCTACGTATATATATATATATATAGGTAACTATACGATTTTTTTGAAAAAGGTAACTATAATGTATTAAAGAAAACAGAAGGGAAGTACATGAGGGGATGTACACATGAAAGGCTATACAAAAAATATGCCCTTTGACAAAAAATTATGAACACAAAAATCTTTCATTGTACACTACATCCCTATTAGCCCTCGCTTTAGACAACCCATCTGTAGTAGTATTAAGATCTTTGGGAATCCAGTGAAGGTAAGAGGAAACAAGGGATATCAGATCTCTGGCTTTAGCAAACCAGAAAATGTCATGACTTTCAAATCTTTTTAATAGTTATCAAATGATTTAAATCTTCTTTATTTATGTAACAACTAAAGCTTCTTAATGATTATTAAATGATTTGTAAAAAGTTAAGAATGTGATTGGTGGCTACAAACATGTATGGGGATTTGGGGTCAAAAGCAGAGCATGATGGAGATTAGAAGCCTTTCAAGAGAGATCGGTGTGCTGGTTAGATGGGTTAGCAGACAAGCAAATGGTTTGGTTGATTCTTTATCCAAACAAGGGACAAACAGGGGAGATTTGATCTGGGCTGCATCATAATAGCAATTTCTTTGGGGGTCGGAATCCCTATTCTTAGGGACTAGACCTGTGTATCTTGTGTAATATTTTCCAAATTTAAAGTCACCATTTCCTATCAAAAAAAAAAAAGAATGCCATGACTTTCTCTAAAGCACCTAATATTCTCAACTCCTTTGTTTATGTGATCCTTCTTTTTTTTTTCAATAACTGTTATAGAGTTTATTGATTATAAGAACTAATGGTGTACAAAATACCAAGAAAAAATTTAATTATGTAAAAAAGAATGTATTCCTAGCACTCCTTAAAAGGTTAGGTCAGCCCTTGCTGCCTATCCCTTGGAATCCCATCCTTCTACAGATTTTTCTCTTTGTGCCTCTTTTTATCTAAACTCATTGGCTAGGCTTTTTGTTGATTGTTGAACCCAAAAGGAATCTGTTTGTGATTATCTATTCATTTATATGCTTTTGCAAAAAAGAAACTCCTCTTATGCATATTTATGTACTTTCTTCATATTAAATCAGGGCTCCAAATATTGATACAGTCCGATATGCTGGATGAGGTGCATCGGACTTTTGAATAGAGCACTTATATTTTTTTTCTTACTTTTTTTTTCGAACTGTTAGGCTATGTTTGGTTTGAAGGAAAAGGTAGGGAAAGGAAAGGAAAGACAGGGAAACCAATACAAGGTTTGTAAAGGTTTCCCTACCTTTCCCTACATTTTCCTTCAAACCAAACATAGCCTTAAAGTTAGCTGATAGGGGCATACTTGTCTTTTTCTAGTTTTTTATCTTATTGAATGAGTTTTACTTAACTGGGGGCATAGTTGTAATTTCAACAGTCATAGAATAGGAATACACCAAGGGTCGACAGTCAAGGAAGCCTGGTTCGACTTCTCCTTGGTTCTCCCTTTTTCTTCTTCTCCTTTTCTTCTATCTCTTCTCTACTGCTCTTCACTTTTCCTATCTTTTTCTTTCACTTTTATCACTTTTTCTTAAGCCAGCACATGGTATCAGAGCACCAAAGCTGACTGTCACTATTCATGTCTTTCTCCTTCGTGCCCTAGGAATAGAGAACATTTTCTATTCTTTGTAAACGGATAAAAGGACACAAAAGGACTGGTTGCCCCTTTGAAAAAGAGGTTTTAATGCCTCAGATTGCAGTGTCTTGTTAGTTAGTGGTGCTTTTCTAAGATCCCTCTACTTGACAGTTCGAAGAGGGCAGCTCTATGATGTCTCGGATTGTATTGTGATTGATTTTCGATGTGTAGTGAGTATGTGGTGTCTTGTGGTTTGGTGATATCTTGGTGGTGTGTGATGCTATCCTAGTATTTCAAGTAGAAGTGTGGTGTTTTTCCCAAGTGAAAAATGAGTGCTACAGTAGGTGTACAATAGAGATTGTAGAACCTCGAACCATATGACTAGATCCTCAGACATGTTTGTATCTCTATCTCCTCCTTCTACATCCCAGACTGTCATGTTAGATGATGGCTCCTCTTCATTACCAATACTAGTAATGCGTCTCTTGGTTATGACCTTAGTCTACACTATTTTTTATGAACCCAAGTTTCCCTTTCGTTTATTGTCTGTAAGGTTACTCAATCTCTTCATTGTTCAGTAACCTTTTATTCTTCTTACTATGTCTTTTAGGATCTCAAGATGGGGAAGACAATTGGTAGCGGTCATGAAGTTGTACGATTGTACCACCTGGATGATCATGGTCCACATAAAGCTCTTCATTCATCTCTTACCCCACATCAGCAGCATTGTCATCTTGGTCATCCTTCCTTACATGTTTTGAAGAAGTTCGTTCCTACATTAGAGTATGTAACTCAGATGAAGAGTGAGTTGTGTCAATTGGGCATACATCATAGAGTATCTTTCGTTCCTAGAGAAGAAGTTGTAAATCACACCTGCAATAATATGAATTAAAAAAAAAAAAAGAAACAAGAGAAAAGAAGGAGATTAAAGAGAGAGAAGTGATAGAGGAAGAAGATGGAAGAAAAGGAAGAAGAAGAGAGAGTTGTTTTAAAACCTCTCTTCAGCACCCAATGATCTCTTTTATTCTTTTGTTGTAAAAAATAAGGATAATTACACGAGTGCCCTTAGTAGGGCATCCATCACTAAAGACAACAATAAAAAACAATAAAAAATAAGAAAACAGGCCCATAATTAAGGCCCACTACCTACTAACACAAGTCACAAACATAAGTTAAAGAAAAACAAAGAAACTAAGGCCCATTTGGCCCATTACCTCTATAGAAGATAAGAGAATCTTGAATCCTTTTGCTTTATTTCACTCAAATGTTTGGGGTCCGAGTCGTGTGTCTTCCTATAATGGATTCAAATATTTTGTAACCTTTATTAACGATTACTCAAGAATGACATGGATTTCCCAGTGTTTTAAAAGGCGTGGGAGGCGTATGCCTGAATGCCCTGAGGCGTATGCCTCATGCACATCTGATATGAAAATACAGAAAAAAAAAGAAAAAAGAAAAAAAGGAAAGGAAAAGAAAAGAAAGGGAAAGAAAAGGAAAGGAAAAAGAAGAAAAAAAAAGAGAAAAGGAAAGAAAAGAAAAGTAAGGGAAGGGAAGAAAAGATAAGGGGAAAGAAAATGGTTTGCCCCCTGTCCCTTCGGCTAGGGGGCTTCGCCCCCCAGACCCCCGCACTCCCTTTTCGATGCAGCCCAATTTGTTTTTTTGAGTTAGGGGGGGGGGTCTTGTTGTAGCGAAGCTCGCTCGCCTTCGCGACAAGACCCCCCCTTTGAACTACTATTATGCATTTTTGTTCTTCTTAATATAAAAGATTTTTATTAAAAATAAAGAAAAAAATGAGATCCCCCTTCCTTTTCATCCTCCTCATAACCCCCCTCCTCTTAAGGAGGCTTACGCCTCCTTGTGTTTGGGAGGCTTACGCCTCTTGCGTTATGAATTACGCGTCACGCCTCCACATTTTAAAACACTAGGATTTACTTAGTGAAGGCTCATTCCAAATTATTTTCTATATTCCTATCTTTTCATGCTGAGATAAGGAATCGATTTAGTGTATGCATTCAAGTGTTTCGTCCTAACAATGCTAAAAAATATTTTCATCATAGTTTCTAGTCTTACTTTGGTTCCCATGGTATTATCCATCAATTTTCTTGTTTGCACACCCCTCAACAAAATGGGGTGGCAAAACAAAAGAACCGTTGTGTGATTGAAACTACTCGTAACTTATTGCTTCAAATGATGAGTCTCCTTTTTCTATCTTATTTCCTTTTGTTTCCCCTTTTTCCCTTCCTCCTCACATGTTTGGTTGTGTTTTTTTTCACAAACTAGGTAAGGGCCATTATGAACTTGACTCCCAAGCTATTAGATGTGTTTTCCTTAGTTACACTCATACTCAAAAAGGATACAAATGCTATGATCCAATCCTTCGGAAAAGCTCTATTGTTCCTGTTGTTACTTTCTTTAAGAGTCTATCTTTCTTTTCTGGGAATGGACCATCCCCTTTTGTTCCTCTTTCTTCTGCCTCTTGTGATGTATTCATTCCTATTCCCATTGATGAGGAACCTCTCAGACCATCAATTCATAGAGTGTACTCTAGACATGACCAACAACTAGAATCATCATCAACAATTACTCCTATTCCAGATTTTGACCCACCACCTATGCCTTCACCATTGACAGGTCTACTATACTTTGATCTTGATCTTCCATTGCTCTCTGTAAGGGTAAGTGTGCATGCACAAATCATCTCATTTCACGATATGTTTCACTTGCTCATTTGTCTCCTTTAAACGTTTCTCTCTTTTGTCCTTTGTTTCTTTGCCCCGTTGTTTAGGAAGTCCTTTCATCTCTTGACTGGATGAAGGCAATGGATGAAGAATTTCTTGCTCTTCAATCTAACCATACTTGGGATCTTACTCCCTTACCTCCTAGGAAGTATACAGTTGGTTCCTGGTGGGTTTATATAGTTAAACATTGTCAAGATGGTAGCATTGAACAGTTTAAAGTCCGACTTGTTGCTAAGGGATATATTCAGACTTATGGTGTGGATTATTTAGATACTTTCTTCCCGATGGCTAGGATAGACTTTGTACAGGTAATCATTTCCTTAGTTGTCCACTTTGATTGGCCCTTTTATCAGCTTGATGTCAAGAATGCCTTCATCCATGATGATCTTTAGGAGGAAGTGCATATGGAGCAACCTCCTGGATATATTGCTTAGGGGGAGTTTGGCAAAGTTTGTAAATTGAGGAAGGCCATTTATGGGCTCAAACAGTCACCACAGGCATGGTTTGGTTGGTTCAATAGTGTAGTGTAGGACTTTGGTTTGAAACAATGCAATGTTGATCACTCCATGTTTAGCAGGGATACTTCATTCGGAAAGATCATCTTGGAAGTTTATGTTGACAATATTGTTCTTACTAGCAGTGATACAAAGGGAATTAATGAGCTGAAACATTTTCTCTAGCAACATTTTCAAACCAAAGATCTAGGAACCCTAAAGTACTTTCTGGGTATTGAGGTAGCCAAATCAAAGTGGGGAATCTCTCTATGATAATGAAAATATGTTCTAGATATGTTACATGAAACAAGATTGTTGGGATCCAAACTGTGGAAGCTCCTATGGATCCCAATGTGAAGATAACTCAGTCAGGGGGAGCCTTGAAAGAGCCTGCAAGATATATGAGACTAGTTAGAAAGATAATCTACCTTACTACCACTAAACTTGACATCTCCTTTAGTATTGGAGTTCTCAACCAATTCATGTAGAACCCCACAATTGTTCATTGGGATGGTGTTGTGAGGGTATTGAGGTATTTAAAGGGTGCTCCCAACCATTGGTTGTTGTACAAGAAAGAGTGAGATTTCTCCCTAGAAGGGTACTCAAATGTAGATTGGGCAAGGTCTCCAATGGACATGAAGTTATTGTACATTCTTAGGTGGGAATATTGTTACTCGAGAACAAGAAGTAGAGTGTGGTTGCTAGTAGTAGTGTTGAAGCATAATACAAAACAATGGCCCATGCTACCTGTGAGATGACTTGGTTAAGATATCTACTTCAAGAAGTGAACATTCTAGTTCATTAGCCCATTAGGTTGCGCGACAACCAAGCAACAAGACATATTGCCTCCAACTCAATGTTTCATGAAAGAACTACACACATTGAAGTTAACTGTCATTCTGTGAGGGAGAAGGTGACAAGTAGGGAAATTATTACTCCCTATGTTAAGTTATAAGACCAAAGTTTTGACATTTTTACTAAAAGTTCAGGAAGGTTAAGGATAGACTATATTTGTAACAAGTTAGAACTTTATGACATATATGCTCCAGCTCACCAGCTTGAGGGGGAGTGTTAAAATTAGCCTATAGGGGCATACTTGCCTTTTTCCAGTTCTTTGTCTCACTTTTGTATGAGTTTCACTTAATTAGGGGCATAGTTGTAATTTCAGCATTCATGGAATAGGAATATACCAAGAGTCAACAGTCAAGGAAGTCTTGTTCGACTTCTCCTTTTCTTCTACCTTCTCTCTATTTTTCTTCTCTTTTTCTTTCACTTTTATTACTTTTTCTTAAGTCAGCACACAAACATGTTTATGAGATTGGTATAAGGCCTAGCCATCTCTTGAAACTGGTCAAAACCCTGTGACTCTTTGTATTTTGCATATCAGTGGCCCACTAATACAACACGTATTGGCCGATACAAGCCAATATGTTGTAAAATTTTGATCCTTGTATTAAATTGATAATTTCTTAAAAATTGTTAATCCATGAGGCTTAAGCCTCAAAACATAAGGATACACATCCAAAGATCCTAGTGCCTCACCCCACATGTAGCGTTTTAAACATTAAGATCAAATCAAAGTGTTATATCTACAAATAAAATTTCACATTAACAAAACCAACAATATACCAGAACTTTTTTCCCATAAATATACTAAAAAATAGATGAATTTATGTCCAATTAATTGAGTAATAGTGGTTCACTTACTTCATTGAGCTTTCGGAGTTTTTCAGCTTCTTCAGCCTGTTTTTTATCCCATTCCTCCTTGGCCTTACGGTTCATCATTATAATTTGACATCGAACATCTGAAGTAATAAGAGTTGGGTGTCTTGGCTTTTCAATATCAACCCTCTAAAAAAAGTTCACTTAAAATTAGGAATATGAAAATTAAAAAAAAAAAACATGTCAGCAAAAAAGAAAAAAAAAAAAAAAAACTTACCTGCTTTGATAATCTGATTAGATTACTGATCAGTCCTCTCATTCTCTCCTCCACAGACTGTAGATTCAACTGCATAAGAATACAGCAAAAATGTACCACTATGGAAAATGACAAATTATAAAGCCAGTTATCTTACCAATGAGAGGCAACGTTCCACATCACTGCTTACACTTTTTATGCCACATTTTGACACTGTCATTAACACCAGATCAAGGTATAAATCATGCAACCAATTTTCTAGTTTAGAAAATTGCACAAATATCAATGGCAAGTAAACTGGAACCAACTTCTTGTGGGTTCATAATGCTTTGGCAAAGCAAGGTGTAAATAAGCTCAGCTTTTTCAGGGACTATCTTGAGATTGTTAAGTAGTTAAAGCCTTAAAGGAAAAAGGCCTAGGTGACAGAAACCAGCCTAGACAATCTGATGTTTGGCATATTTGTATATTTTTCTCACTTTTCAACTCTTAAAGAAAGTTTAACAGTTACGAATCAAAAAAAGTTGAACAAGTATCAAATATTCAAAAGGATTTCCCAAGGAGAGGGGGAAAGAATTTCTAACTAATTTCTGTCAGTTTCTTTTGAAGAGGTATTTTCTGCAAGATTAATCTTTCTTCTTCCTCTTGTACAACCCTTCGAGTTGCTTCTGAAGCTCGGCTTTCCTCCTTAGACCCAGAGAATAACTGCTCTTCCTCTTCCTGTTCCAGAAAGAATATCCCGTGCACAATGAGCTTCCAAAGTACTCAATTCAACTGTTTGCTGTTATACTGCTAACTAACTTCTGATTCAGGTGTACATCACTACTGAGAACTAAAGAAAATATCATACCCTCAAATTAACTCCACTGACAGCAGTAACATCATTGAGCTGTTCAATGCTTTGATCAAGAAAGGCCCCAGATACCTTTTGTTTTTTACTGTATTGCATCACATGAAATGTTTTGAGACATCCGATGCTAAATGGGGATTAAGATTTATGATGCAAAAACCAAAGCGTGCTGTCATCATGAAGTTGTATGCTGTGACAAGAGAATCAATTCACCTTGATGAGGGCACAGAGGTTCCAAGTGCTTCAAGAGGTTTCTTTTGACCAACAGAAGGTTTCTTCAGGGGTGTCTTTGCACTAAGTCCAGCCCCAACTGGAGTGGCTGCAGATGGGATCTGGGTCCGCATCTGAACAGATGAACAAAGCAAATAATAATAATGAATATTAGACTAGAATATCATCAGAAAACTCTAACAAATTTATTTAACTTCTTTATTTGATATCTTAGTATTCTCCTTCATTTGCTTTTCAATGATTCTGCAATCAATTTACCACCCTTCATCTAACCCTTCTGCCACTGTTAAAGTTAAACCCCTAGATCCCCAGAATCCCTTTGCCAACTCCTAATCTATCACTAAATATTAGACCCTTGCCTTAACCTTATTTGGATAAGCATTCATAATCACCTACACATCTATCTACAGCAATCCTACTCTTTCCCTACAGCAAACCTGGTCTTCCTCAGCAATCTGGCATTATGACAATATCCCATAAAAAATTTAATGCCGTTGAGTATTTTTTTAATCAGTAACTTGACTTGGTTGAGGTTGCTCATCTTATGAAGATATTTAGGAAACTTTTATCCATGGATCAATAAAGAAATTAGGATAAGGTTGTTACTTGTTAGAATGCAAAGGCCCTCTGTTTTTTCCCTAGATTAGGAAGTGGCATCTCGGCATTCAAACTCAATCCTCATGTTTGAAGCATCAATAGTTCACAAACTAGGCTACATCAAAAAGATTCCAACTTTTGAAAATAACCACTTGAAAATGCTTGGCCCCTCAAGAACTCAATCCTTTTAGTTGGCAAGTCACTCCTAAGAAAATTAACAAATGAAGCATGCTCTAATGAACAAGGAAGATTTGAGATTTTTTCTCTTTATATGAATATGAGTGAAGGAAGCAAAATAAAATTGGCAATACCCATTCTTCGTCATAGTAATTTAATAGTCAGTTTGTGATGTGGAATCATTCTTTATCTGTATATTAAATTGGATCCCAATAGGATATATAGAATTTTATTCTAAGCTAATTTGCTGTTCCTCTTAGAAGGAGGGGTAAACTATTATGCATGTGGCAATTTGGTCCTTGTTCTCAATATTTCCGGAGAATAAGAAAAAGGATTTTGAAGACAAGGTTGGTCACTCCTTGTCAATCACCCAAGTAATGAAGTGGTAGTGGCTCCTCAGGTTTGGGATCCAGTTTTGAACATGTTCAAGGGCTTCTTATTGATTCAGTTACTTGAAACTGGCCCCTAATAATCTACTCTATCCCCATGAAATCATGGTCACACATCCTTATCTTTGAAAAATGCTAAGACAATGCAATGTTGGTCTTTTTGGTAGCAGCAAGAGTAGGGACCCTTGTGGAACTGATACTTGGGTTCTTATTATTTAGGGGCTAAGAGTGGCCCATCTCCATGGGATGAACAGATCAGAGATGCAAGGGATTAGACTTGTCAATGGGATGGTAAGGTCATTGAGCAAGGGTCCATGAGAATTACCATCAGGAAGATAAGGAGTTAACATCCAGGATTAATAGCTCATTCTCCTGGGTTCCCTGGGGTTACCAGAATGACCTCCCTAATGGGCTTGATTACCAAAATATCCAAAGTGACACGATATTTGGTAAAACAATTCCTTTTCTGTTTATACCATCATAATTCTTTTTCCTGAGATGCCTTTCTCTTTTAGGGAGTTATTCCTTTCTCTGTCTCCATTTCTTTTCTTCCCTTAGTTAAATTGTTGACCCTTGTTGAACCAAAAGAAATTACTAGTGGTTGTTCCATAAGGAACTTTATCTTTTTTAACTAAATAAAAATACAAAGATGTACGTTCAGCTCAAAATCTTCCAAACAGGTGTTATCCCATGTTGCTATGCAAGATTCTGCAAGCAACTAAATCAATTTGTCATGATTCTGTAGAACGTGCATCTGATTAAAACACAAAAATACCTATGAGAAAAGCAAGCTTGGCATTACCATGGACTCTAGTTGTGCTGGCATGGTACCCAATACTGAATTAGTGGGTCCAATACTTGTAGATGTTGAAAAGGTCATCATAGTAGATTGTTTATCCATGGTTTCCTCCTGCTCAGTCTGTATAGTGGCAAAAGATGAACCCTGGGGAACTGACAATTGGGATTTGTGCTGCTGCTCAGCAGTCTGATCATTTTGTTCTTGTTTTACATAAGACACTGATGATGGAATAACAGTTTTATGCTCCTTAATTGATGATTGCCAGGGAACCGGACTTTGTTGTAATGTTGAATGGCTTGACAAGTGGGGAAGAGATCCTCCTGGCAATCTCTTGGATTCATTAATTGAATTTTGCATTTCATACTTAGGCACACTCATCATGTTCATAGGCCGAGTTGCTCCTCCTAGCTGAGTTGATGTCATGCCTTGATGAAGTGAAACTTGCCTCATTTGTGAATCTTGAGTTTGGGATTTATGAGAAGTTGTTGTACCACTGATAACTGGTCCAGAATAGGCATGAGCAGCATGATAGTTACTAACTGCACTCCCATACATTGCGAAAGATGTCTGTGGAAGGTGTAAATGCTGTTGCTGCGGCTTATTAAGTCCTTGCATGGGAATTGAAGGGAGCTCCTTTTCCTGCTTAATCATGCTCATATTAGCAGATGAGATTTGGCTTGCATGTGTTCCCTGTGAATCTAACTGATTTTCTGAATCTTTAGACATCTGAGCACTGTTTTCTGTGGTAGAGAAAGTTGAATTACTCTGTGTTTGAACCGTTGAAGTGGGAACCCGAGACAGGTCAGTGGGTGATTTGTGGCTATTCTGATGAAGTTGTGCAAATGAAAGTGGATCCGTAAACTGTGATGCATTAAGAGATGGCATTTTAAGTGGTGGTGGTGGTGGCTGCTGCTGCTGATGTTGTGAAGAAGTTTGAGACTGAAACTGGAAATGGTGGGATCCTGTCTGTGGGTTCCGAGAAGCCTGAGCCTTAATTAGTTCCTGATGTTATATGTGTTTTAGTTTAGAGACTTCTAAGTTTACCAAAACTACCATAGAAACAGTGATCCACTTGCCTGCATACGCACTTTGGCTAGTGCCTGTCTTAGCATATGATCCCCCACAATACTCTTCATGAGCCTGATGAATCCCTCTTTATGGATTTCATTTTTCTAACAGTAAAAATAATTGTAATGAAAATAAGGATGAGAAATAAATAATCAGTCACTCTAGAAAAGCAAGAAAAAATGGTTGACAAAAAAAGGAGCATGCTAGAGACCCACCCTCAATTTGGTAGAAAGTGTCTGAAGCTGCATAGCTCTGTCTTTATCAAGGTGAGGCAGTAAGACAGGGAGCAACAAACTAAATGATATTTGTTTGCCACGGGACATTACCTGGTCTGCTGTTGGGGCCTGTTGATTACTCATCTTATATAATGTGGGGTACTGATGTTGGCTATCAGCATTTTGCATTTTATCCTGATCTGAAAAGTGAAGTGGATTTTGTTCAGATATCTTAACCCCACTTTTTTGAGAAACCTGGAGAGATTTTTGTTCTTCTTGATGCTGTTTCTGATCATCATTGGACTGCTTCTGTTGCAAAGGGAGTTGAATGTGTTCCTCTGAGCTCTGGTTGTTAAAATCAGTTCCAAATTGCATTGGATCAGCTTCAGATGGATACTCCTCTTGTGGTTGTACATTCTTTAGTTCTTGTTGATTTTGGCAAGTGATATTTTCTTTCTGTCTAGAAATTGGCCATTGTAGAAACAATTGACTGGATGTAGGATTTATATTATGGGACAACACAACTGCATGGTTTGTTACATACACCATGAAAAGTACATCTTTGATCAGGTAAAGTTACGCAATATAGTTCTATTTAGAAAAAAAAAATTCAAGAAGGATAAGAAACAAAAAACTAAGTTGAAGATTATTGTCAGTCACAAGTTGGTAGCATGTAGGTATTAGGAGTGCATACATGCTTGGATGATGCATGCATACGTCCATGTGTATGTGTGGGAGAATGAGACGGTATGTTTGTGTGTGTACAAGTATAATGTGTATTTCAGAGAGAGAGAGAGAGAGAGAATCAATCTCTGTACACAAGCTTTAATCTTAGCATGGTGTTAAATATAATCAAAACTAGCACCTCATTTTGGTTTTATATGCCTCGTAAGAACTAATTACCATTCATCTATGAAACTTTTGACATGCATACTTAATTACTTATTTCTATGGTTTTTTCAGAAAAAAACTTTCATTATTTCAAAAAACATATACATCCCCTGCGCAACAAGTCACTGTGCAAGAGATATAAAAAGTCAATTGAAATTAAAAAAAGAACTATATGCACAGATACAAAAAGTCTATTGAAATAAAAAAAAAGAACTATATGCACATATACATCCTTTCTATACATTTTCCATTCTGCATGCACAGATACAAAAAGTCTATTGAAATAAAAAAAAGAACTATATGGCCTGTTTCTGAAGTACTTGTGAGCCCCTGCCCATGAATACAATATGCCCCATAAACCTTTCAATGAATTTTCTTCTGTGCCCACATAGCCTTTCCTTCTTTGGATAAACCATTTAAGTGCCAACCCCATAGAAAAACCACCACAGATTTTGGGAAATGGAACTGAGCTTCAAAAGGTCCCAATAGCTTTACCCATATGCTCCTTGAAAACGTGCAGTGAATAAATGATCCAACTCTTCTAGGCTTCACCACACATTACACATCTGCTGGGTTCCACCCTCATCCCTCCATTCACTGTTAGGCACTTTCCCTAAGTTGCAGTTCATAACAATAAAGCAACTTTGGGGAGGGGGGCTACTGTCTTCCAGACTCTAGCCTCTGGAAATCTGTACATCTCTTCCATGTTCAATCTGCAGTAGGACTTAACTGTGAATCTACCTGATTTTTCCCACACCCAAATTCTTCTGTCCTTGACCTCTCAGGTGTGATTGTGCTGATTCTATGCATCAATTCCAGGCACTGCTCTACCTCCCTATCACTCAGATTTCTTCTGAAAATGGGGCACCATTCACCTTCTTGAGAGAAAAAAAACCTCTGCCATCGCACACTCCTAATGTGGGAAATCTCAAACCAAGAGGGTGAAAGTCTCTTTAGGGGCGCGATTACCACACCAGATATCATGCCAGAATCTTATCCTTGTTCCATCACCTACTACATAGTTAATACCTTTTCTTAAATCACTTAAAGACTTCTGAACTCCTCTCCACACTGCATACCCATTTCTATGGGGTATAATCTCATAACATTTGATATCAAGGTTCTTAAGTAACATTCTAAGATGCCAAGTATATGAATCAGGGTTATATGCAAGAGGTTTAACTATCCAGCTTTATTGTAAAATGTAAATATGAGATGTTCATGGTGTTAGACAGTTTTGCGTGCCCTTAGCTCCAATCAGTTTGATGTACTTATGACATTTATTGTAAATGAATAAAATGCATATTTGATTCATGTTATGTGGTGTGTTTCTGTGTAATACCCTTAAAACCGGATACTTATGAGACTTGTATTGGTTTAGAACGTTCACAGCCAGTGGGTCGGTCTGGAGAGACCTATCTTGATAAGGCTGACACTGATGTGCCACCAAGTCAGTTGGGGTGGCCTGTCTCTGCCACTAGGGTGAGACCCGAGGTACATGTAGTGTGGGATCATCTTGAGACCTTGAACCGGACCAGAATTCCAGTATTGCCTTGGACCTTGGCGATTAGTGGGCAAAACTGGAATGTTACACCTGACCCCTAGACTCGATTATGGTACCGCACTAGGTGGCGGATTGGGTCATCTTTGATATGCCAATCAGTGAGACCCTTGGAGGGGGTCAAAACCTGGGTATGTTGAGATGGTTCATGAACCCATCTGAGTGGGTGATCATAGTGACAAGATCAGCCCCTTTGTCGGACAAAGGTAATGATCGG